TCGACGTGGCCCACTGGGAGCCAGGCCTGGGCTTGTGTTTCTCCAACCGGGAGGCTATGAAGGAGTGTCAATGGTTGCTGCGTTTTTCTTCCCCATTTCGTGCGTGTTCGTCTTGTTGGTTGTTGTGATAAATTAAGGGTAGGGGGGACACCCAGCTAGGCAGATAGCTATAAAGTTCCACTTGGTGGCTGTTCTCTGCTTGTTTTACCTGTAAATGGTTAAAAAAGTCCCCCGGGTAAAGGAAAGGGAGTGGGCACCTGACCAAAGAGCCAATGGGAAGGCTAGAACTTATTAAGACTGGGAAAAAGCTTTCCCTTTGTGTCTGTTGTTGGTTCTCCGGGAAAGTGGGGAACAGGGAGCAGCTATGCTATGAGAAGCTTTAAGCCAGGTATGATCATAGATCATCAGATGATACCTATGCAGTAGTAGGATTTTATGTTTGTATTTTGTATAATTTAGAATGAAGGATAAAGAATAATAATGTAGCACGTACTAAATGTTTTGGTGTATGGTTTGACCATATCCTGCCAGCCACCCTTTCTGAAAGGGGAAAGGAACGGCCTAATGGGCCAGTGGTAGAGATGCATCAGCCAGAATCTGTGTCTGTGCTGATTTCAAGGCAGTGACAGACCTTTTAGGGTCACCACTTAGCTGTAGGTTTAGCATTTTAAAATAAGTAAAAGAATGCATTGGTTGTTTTTTCTCTTGCATTGCAACTTGATGTTGCTGTTCAAATGCTCTGTGTAAATCAATTCTGTGTTGTGTGTGAATGAGGAATGTGTGTGTTAAGAGATAAGTGTGAAGGCCATCACCAGACCAGATGTTTTGGGGAGGAACCGAAGACAGACGCAAGGGCACCAGGAGGCTGCAACACACCCCTATTGAAATGTCAGAGGAGGGCAGATTGCTGACTCTAAAGATGAGACAGGCACCTATCAATGGGGACAAGATAGCTGTGATCAAAACCAGCCTGGGATATCTCCTTGAGAGACTTGATGAAAGAACCAGATAAAGGATGAGAAGGACGATTTAAGAAAACAAGCACTTGTCAAACAACAATTGATTACAGCATGACGGCGCAAAACTCATTGGTCCCAATGAAGGAAAATCACTATATAAACAGGCTGCCTTGCCATGAAACTTTGGGTTCGTCCTGCCAAGACTTCCCCGGAGCATCGTGTCGCGACCAACGGATTCCGGCTCCTACCTACCCTTGATCAACCTAGCTGGCCACTAGATTGATCCGGACTCTGGACTGGTAACGATAACATAACATTGATTGGCGGGACAGTGTGTGTGTGTGTGTGTGTGTGTGTGTGTGTGTGTGTGTGTGTGTGTGTGTGTGTGTGTGTGTGTGTGTGTGTGTGTGTGTGTGTGTGTGCTAATTGTTGTATCTTCAATAAACGCGGCATATTGCCTTTTCCCCTGAAAAAGATCCCGTGTGCTTCTTGTAAGCACAACAGGAGAAGGGGACTTAGGGGGAAGGTATGGACTGGAGGCGCAGCAGGAGCGGGAAGAGGCGAGGTGGGGGTGGAGCAGGGGTGAGGCTCTAGGGGAAGGGGTGGAGCAGGGATGGGAAGGGGCAGGGGCAGGGGCACGGCCTAGGGTGGGGGTCCCGGGCCTTGCACCCCCCGAGGGACAGCCCTGAGAGGCATGGCCCTGTAACCTCCTGCTCCTGTTTGATCATTTGTTGTCCCCTGAATTTAGCTGAACCTTGAGCTTAATTAGTGGTTTCTCCCCCTGGGCTGGTGCAGTAGCCTTCAGTTGTGGGTGGACTAGCACCCTCCCCCCTGCCCGGGACGTTGATAGGTGGGTTTGCTTTGTACGATGGAGAAAAAGAGCCAATAGGAAACTGAAAGTAAAACTCTTTCAGGGACGCTGGCTCCCAGCCTTTACTTTGCATTTACCAGAAATCACGCAGAGCACAAAGCCCAGAAAAGGTCAACAGCCTTCCCCTCCTAACCCGGCCCCGACACACGGCCGGACGGCAGAGGGAAAGCGTGCTTGCTTGTAGGGTGGCATCCTACGGTGGCCATTCACATCTCTGTGTAACAGGCCAGGTCGGTGAGAACTGCTCGGCCAGACACGCTCTGGAAGTGATGGCCACGGGTATGAGAAAATCAGATCCCTCAGGGGTGGGTGGGCACCAGGGAGTATGAGCCCAGGCTGGCTGTGAGGTTCTCCAGCCAGGCCAAGAAGGCTCCAGCCCATGCAAGGGGCTCCGTGTGCCCCAATTCCCCCTCCCCCTATGCCAGGGGCTCTGTGTGCCCCCTCCCCCATTCCAGGAGCTCTGTGTTTCCCCCTTCTCACGTCTTGTCTCCTTGGGTCAGGGCATTGACATTTTAAATGCCAGAGGAACACGGGGAAGAGATGACCGGGTCCTTCTGAGATGCTGGCAGGGGTTAATCTGGCCCCAGGGCGGGGCACTGACTGAGTCAGGGGGATGGGGAATGGGCCCTTTCCTCTCTAGAGGTGCCGGCTCCTGTCTTAACCCAACAGCCACACGCCATTCCCCATCCAGGGATCGGTGAGATGCAGCTGCCTCTGGGGTGGAGCGGAGAGGACCTGTCAGGGTGTGGCCATTTCCTTCCCATTTCAAAAGGGGCCTCGCAGTCCACATCAAAGCCCCCAGGCATGCGTGGGGCCAGGACTGGGCCGCAGACGCAGGCAGGATGGTGTGGGCTTCTGGGGCCCAACTGTTTGTGGCCACATGAGTCACGGGCTGCCGGTAAGCACGTGAGCAGAGGCGGCACCAGGATGTGGCCAGAAGACACCCCAGCAGACAGCCCTCCGCAGCTCCTGTCCCTTCCAGTGGAGAGTACAAGAATCGAAACCACAGAGGCCAACACAGCTTTGGGGGCAGAGGGACATCAGAGCGGGGCTGAGCCCTGTGCAAAGAGAAACAATCATCATCTGGATTGTTTTACAGGTGGGGAAATTGAGGCACGGAGAGGGCGGGCCTAGGTTACAGTTAGGAAGCCGGTGATAGAACCCAGGAGTCCTGCCTCCTTGCCCCTCCTTCCCAAGCCACCAGCCCCCACTCCCCCTCAGAGCTGGGATAGAACCCAGGAGTCCTGGCTCCCAGCCCCCTCTGCTCTAACCCACCAGACCCCACTCCCCTCCCAGAGCCCGGGGCAGAACCCTAGTGGGTACAACCTGTGTGGCTTGTGTGACAGACACAGAAGAAAGAAAGACACTGGGGGCCTTTGCAATGGAAACTAGGCCATGGAGACATTTACTGTACCCATCGGCCATATTCCCTTTCCTGTCCGGCCCCAGAGCTGAGGGCCTTTCCTCTCTACGGCGTGCCATTTTCACTCCATCCCCAGGGCAGGGACTTGGCAGGCTCAGGTGGGTGAGAATGGGACATGGGGCCTTTCCCCTGTAGGGGGCAACAGACCCCCGTCTCCCCCACCACAGCCAGCCCCTGCCCAGGTGTTCCCCAGGCAGTCAGCTTCCATCCTGGCCCCCTGCTGGCTGGCTCAGGCAAGTGGATTATGGGATTCGGGGCCTTTCCCATCAAGGGGCCACTTCTCTGATCCAGCCCCAGGTTGGGGGGGATTTTACCTTGTATTTTGATAAGGGACCCCCGTCTGACAGACTGCTTTTCTTCTAGCTGGAACAAACTGTCCTCTGGCGGGAAAGGAGACGTGGGTGGACCTGCTGGGGAGGTTGCTGCTGCTGGAAAAGGCCGATCCCGTCTCCCAGAAGACCCAACAAGATGAACACACATGGAAGGGGATGGAAAAGACCAGCAGAGAGAGTAAAATTGAGCTGCTGACTCACTCTTGTAGCCTCATAGCCGGAGAAACAAGGCCCCAGACCCCGCCCTGACCAGCCACTTCAAGGCCTGACAAACTTGTCCCAGCAGTGGGCCATTTCGGTAGCCAATTCTGATTGGACGTATTCCTGGAGGGCTCATCACATGACATAATCTTTGGAAAAGATGCAGCCTGGGCCCGCTGAGCTGGACTCTTCTCAGAGAGAGGCGAAAAGAGCGAGAGAAAGAGGAGAGAGAAGAAAGAAGAGGGGGAAGGAAAAGACGAGCATGAGGGAGGGGGAGGGAGCAGGAAGTCCACGTTTCACCTCCCGGGCTGGGTGTGGGATTTAGCCAGAGCCAGCGGAGGTGGCAACGTCACTTGGGTCTCCCTGTCTGGCCTCATCCCAGCTCAGCTCCAAGGCCCAGGACAATGAAGCCCCAATGATGTCATGGCGGTTGGGACACCGACCCTCCTAGAACCTGCAGGAATTAAAGATTAATCTTTCATTAAAAATTCTGTCTTGTGACAAAACCTCCAGGAATACAGCCAACCAGAATCGGCAACCCTGCCTGGTGGAGTCCAGGAGACGGTACAGGTGGCTGCCCTGATCATGAAACTTGCCCCATCTGTCCACCCGGCCTCTTCACTGCCACCCCAGAGGTCTCTCCAAAAGGGGGAGGTGGCTAAGCTAGTCCCTCCCCTCCTGATTTTGTCCACCAATCAGGAATCCAATTTTATTATCTGCCAGGGACTTCCACCATTAAGATAATGTTTGATCCCGGCAGTGTGCTCTGTGGATATATAGCAGGAGTTGGGAGGGGGCATTTGTCACATGTAACCTACGATCTCTGTGGTCTTGGGAAACCAGGGTGCAGTATCCAGCCTGTCTGACTCATGAAGGACCTCCCCCCACCCAACCTCTGCTTGAATCAAAACTGCTCAGAAGAAAGACTTACCCAAGCCCCTCCAGACAAGGGTGAGAGGATTAAGGCAACTCCCTTAGTCTCATTTGCATCAAAGATGGGACAGGGGGCCTTCTCCATTAGCATAGAGAATGGAGAACAGAGATTCCAAGACAAGAACTGCACTGAACTCTGGGACCAGAAAAGCAGGGAAGCACTGCATGATGGGGGATCTCTGCTCCAGATGTTAATGAACCTACATCTGCCCACACCCAGCTCAGTGCTTATCAGACCAATTCTAGTAATAAATCCTCTATTGGTATCCAAAATACTGAAGCTGCCTAATTGAATTATGAGCTCCCTCGAAGGAACACCGCCCATAGCCAGGAATGATCAGTTCTTATTGTCTAGCTTGAACAAAACAACTTCGATATATTCCCTTAAATCAATCGTTTTACGCACCAAGAATTCTAGTGTTCTCCCTTGAAACATTGTTCTTTTTCTACAGAAACCCACACACACGCTCACGTAGGTGTTCTGTTGCCTGGATCCAAAATCTGCATCCGTTCCATTGGGATTTCATCTTCTCCTGCCTGACGGTGCTGGGGGCTCTGCCTGTCTCCAGCACTCCAGACCCTCAGCTACCACCATCACCTGGGAACCCTGGTCGATTCAAGCTTCACGAAGAGGTGAGAAACCCCCCCCACTCTCTCTCATGGGTGTTTTTGGCTTCCCCATTCGCTCTGCAGCCACTCTCCTCATACCTAAGCTAAAGACCCCTGCAGAGCCCAAAAATCCTGTGGGGTTTCCTCATCCAGTGGGTTACTACCAGAACAATTGTAACGCGGACATGGGGATAGGGACACGCTGAACCTGGGGCATATGAGGGTGGAAGCTTGAAAGTGCTGCTCGGCCCAGCCCATTGAACCAGGGACATATAAGGGGTCAGCTTGGGAGTGCTGATTAACTCAGTCATCATAGACACACTGTGTGTGTGTGTGTGTGTGTGTGTGTGTGTGTGTGTGTGTGTGTGTGTGTGTGTGTGTGTGTGTGTGTGTGTG